TCTTGCTTTGATTTGTAGAAAAATCAAGTGCATCACTATCACTGTGAGTTTGATGGAATAAACCCAGATGATGACAGAGTACATTTAAAAGGACTTGGTAATGGTTTTAAACAGAAGGTAACACTTTATTTATTTTAACTTTTCAATTTTTTAGTCCTAAACATATACATGTACTCATGTTCATGTGTCAACTTTTTAGCTTCACAGCGATGACAGCGGAGCTCATGTTGTGACTGGACCTGTCGTCGTCTGTGCGTTGTACACTGTCTATCGTTCGTCAACTTCTTCTCCCAAACCGTAACTAGACCACTTTGCTAGCACAGCTACCTGGGGTGGTCTTCTGTCAGATTTGTTCATTTCATGACATCATATTTTTGTCATTTTTGGTCAAAAATGATTTTTTTTCAACAACTGCTTGTCAGATTGCATTGAAATTTGGCATGAATGTTCTTGACATGAACTAGAACCTGACTTACTAATTTCATGACACCATATGCAAGTGTCTATTTTTAGTAAATAGTTTTTTTTTTTATTTCTTCAAAACCGACTGCCAGATTGCTTTGAGGTTCATAATGTAGACACATGGACTGGTCCTCTTTCAAATTTATTTATTTGTATTGAATGTGATTTTATTTTTGCACACATGTTGAAATAACAAATTATCTCTGCTTCTTGGATTTTCTAATATCCATCAATTAACTGCATTAATTTGGTTTGTCTTTTCTGGTAGGTGTATGACTTTTTTAAGCAACGTATAGAAGAACAGTACCCACTGGAGAATATTACATTGGATCCATATCAACTAGCCAGAGAAGCACACGAGGTATGAAATGAAATTCAGTTACACACCATATTTATAGTTGATGGTTGAATATCATATTTGCTCTATTAGTGGCATATACAAAGTACATTTATGTAAATAACAAAAGTGGTCCATATAAGTCATATTTTTATGATCTAGTTTTAATTCCTAATCCCAGTTCAATGAAACTTTGTACATAGATGGTCTGTGACATTACCCATTATTATCAGTTTACATTAAAATCTGTGCATATTAATACATTACCTGATTTGCATAATACTTAGTTTCAAGGTTTTCCATCAATATCTCAAATACATGTACTTATCTTGTTAATGAATAAATAAATGAATAAATAAATAAACTAGATTGTTGTATTGTCTCAGAGTAATTAGTTAATTAATTAATTAATTACTCTAAGACAATACAACGATCTAGTTAGTTTTGAGAATTTATCATCACATTATAATGAAACATGGTACATATGTGCCCTAAAGCAATACTCATACTTAATTAGTTTGGGGTGAAACCAGTTATTGCATTTATTTCAGTTTATGATTGAAATTCGAGCATACTAATTGCAAAATTTTCACAATGTGCATAATCACTACATTTCATTGAAATTTGGTTGATTGATGCTCTGGGGTAATCCCCAGACGTGATTAGTTTAATAGAGAAAAACATCTTGATTATCTAATTATTATTAGCCAATTCCTGATATCTCAAAAAATCTGATTGAAATTGAACTTTTGGTAGAGATGCTTTGGAATAAATTAGACTGCAAACTGCAGATGTAAATTTAAATGTATTTTCTGTAAGTATTATTATAAACTTTCTATAATGTGGATCACATTCTTTTCATGTTGTGCATCTCAAATAGCAGACAAATATTAATTGCCAAGTTACATGTTTGGAAGACTAATTATTTTCTCCAATACTGTCTCAGCACACAAGTTCTTTCTAACCTTTCTTGATATTACATTGTCTATCTATAGTTCTTTTTAATAACATTTTGTATTAATTTAATGGTCATTCATTTGTGATCAGATAAAAACGGAGAATTTTAATATGGGTTTCAATCAAAATGTTTTTGTGTGCATCTAATATTTCTCATTCGTCATGCCTCGCTCAGTTATGTTCAAACTCAGTACAAAGGCAAGACACAAACATGGGCTTACTTGCATTTATTTTGTTGCAAATACTATTTGTTAATGGTCATACAGAGATAGCATTGACTTATTTGTATCTTCGCAGTCATTCATGAAGAGTCGTACTGCAATTGTATTAGGAAGAAATGAAATACTTCAACAGGTAAGAGTCCATTTCAGTGGTACTTCTGATCTCATCTAATGTAGTCTTTATCATAATGTATTACTTAATAGACGGGTATCAAGTTATCTGTTTGATATGTTAGGAACGTAGATAAATAGAATAAACCTGTATAAATAGATTTCCCTGTTGGAGACTCCTCGTGGGTATCTATAATCTACGTATGAATACCATGCAAGCTAAAACAAAATTATACTTGTACTACATCATCAGTGTATTAAATACAAAAATTCAAAAATAAATCTTTGTGTACGGTAATTTTATATTCAGTGAACGTTCAGTAAACATTCAAAGGCAACCAGAATGACTACAATTCAGTAATCACTAAGCCATTATTTCCTTTTTGCAATTTTACAAGTTAATGGACTAGTACAGTACTGTACCTCTGCATAATAAGATACATGTAACTCTATATACCACTTTTAAATTACTTGTTTTAGTTAATTGTAAATACTTGCCTTAAATTTGGCAAATCATGACTTTTTTTTTCTTCAGATCGAGGACTACATAACTGGTGTTGGAATTGATAAGCCGTTAATAATCCTGGGAGGACCCGGGATGGGGAAATCATCTATAACAGCCAAGGTAGCTGATGAAGCAGAGGCAAGAGCACTCAAAAAACAGATTCCAGGGTATGAAATGAAATTAACTTTGAATGGTTTGGTGTTTTTTGTTTAGTATGCGTAAAATTTGTAATATAATGGATTTATTATAAGTGCATAACTAATATACCTTAGATGCCAAATGGGTGCTGGGATGGTGTAGTAGACTAGGTAATGATGGGAGGAAACAGAACACAATCTGAGGGGCAAAGGATCTCTCAGTGGCTATATGCGTCAAGGTTTATTAGTGAATGCCATGTTAAAAAATAATAATATTGTACATATAAACTGTTAAAATTAGGATAATATTTGCGATTTTTCCTGACTTGAAAGTGGTTAGGGCTTGTAGATTATTAAAACTGACGCTTGACTCAACCATATAGCCAGATAACACCATGCGAACTAAATAAAAAAAACACATTGAACCTATAATGACAGGAGTGTTCTGCAGTATACTTTGTATTGCATTTATTTAAAACAAAAATAGTGAGTCTGTACAATGTATAGTTTGATTGGCAACAATATTTCCAATTTGAACATAGTGCATATGCAGATTTCAACGCTTAATATTTTGATACACACAATACAAAATTAACCCCCCCCCCAAATCAAATGACTTACTGTAGAAATACTTTATTTTAGCTGGAATTAATTTTGGCTGAAAAGACATTTTGTGTGTTTTGTATGGAATTATTTTTCACTGATTTTTGATAAGTTGAATGTAAAATATAGGAAAAAAGGTATATTCGCTGGACTTTATTTTCACTGAATCATTCCTTCAGCGAAATTAGCGAAAATAAATTCCAAGTGAAAATAAAGTATTTTACAGTATGCTGCCACTAACAGTACCGGTAATTTTTAATACATTCCTGCGGTATTTTTGGATAGTAATAAAAATAAATAGATTGGAAATACAGAAAGAAAGATAGTATAAAATTGAAATTACATAACGGCCAAGGGATATGATGATGTGAGGTTGTGTCACTCCTAATAATACCAATAGAAGCAATGCATGGCTTACATATTTCTTTATTGGAGATGTGCTATTACAGTAAATAAATGTATGTTCTTCTGTGGAAGAGAGGTTAAACAACAATTTTAAGAGTCCTTGGTATATGGAATTTATCAGTGAGTTTTATGATTGATGGTATATGTAGTAGAATGTATAAGTTGAGTTTGTAACTTTGAGTTGTGTCTTCTAAAATCAGTTTGCAATAATTGTTTCTCTAGTGGTGGTGACAGTGGTTGGTGTGTATTTTATCATTTTGTTGGTGCCGTACCAGGCTCTACTGATCCAGAAAGAGCTCTAAAAAGGTTACTGAAAGAACTAGGTGTTGTCAATGTAAGTATCTGTCAGTCTGTGTGTGTGTTATTCAAGTACATTATTTTATAACTATGATTTTAGATATCTTGGATATTAGTGCTTCACAGTGTACAATTTTATTACTTTGCTTGTATTACTCCTAGTACTGTAAATTACATTATTTTAGCTGGGATTAATTTTCGCTGAGAAGGCATTTTTGCTGTTTTGATCAGTTGAATGTAAAATATAAGAAAAAGGGTATTTTATTTTTACTGATTCACCTGTTTGGAGAAAACAACAAAAATAAATTCCAAAATGCAGTATCATCTACTGGTAAGTCTACTAAAGTGTGATGTAAATTCTATATCACCACTTGTGTGTGCTGCTACTGTGATTGAGTTGGTAATGTTCTGAAACATGCACAAACTGTGGAATATGCAACAACATGCATGTCTGTACAAGTAAACCAAGAATTGCCCATCGTCTACCCTGACCAGCTCACCAGTTTGTTTGTGGAGTAAATTGATGTTGTTTTGGTTGTCATTATGAGTGTTAATAAAAATAGTGACAGGTGTAGTTTTTCTGCCCTTTTCAAATCTGGCTAGTATTTTGTTTTTCTTATATATATTACTACACTATAATTTCAAAACTTTAAACAATTCATGTTATATTATTTTTATAAGGACATTGAGATTAATAAAGTACATATAGTATTACTTGAGAAACATGAATACTAAATAATTTTGTATGTAATTATGCTGACTATATTGTTCCATTTTTGGTCAGAATTGTTCCTACCTAAATTTTAGCCAGTAATTTTTCCTGCAAAATTTTTAGATACATTTTTGCATTGTTTCAGGACTTTTATACTCAATTCAGCCATGCATTCAGTTTGTATCCATCTATCTATTTGTTATTTAATCTCGTTTCTCAGAGGGCAAGATTGTAATAGTTATACTATGTTTTTATTATGAATGATGTTCGCCGACGGATATTCACAACCAAGTATATAGATTGGTAGCTGTTGAACATGATAAGCATGATCTATCTTGAGTTATTTTACTGTCTATTTTCAGAATTATAATTTAATCACTCCAAAAAAAAATCTGCAAATGTCACTGATGATCAGAATCTTCATACAGCATGAACAAAATTTGCATACAAATTCAAAGTTCAATGTTAAAATTACAATCTTTCATAGAAGAATATGGCACTGATCGAAATACCCTTGCTTCTTCAAAATTGACAATAGTCAAAGGTATATAGCACAGTATTAAGTATGGAAATACCAACAAAACAACAAATTAGTGTTTATTGAATCTCATGCGATGATTTCAAACATACATGTAATGCCAGATGCTGTGTCAACCTAGGAGAACATATTGTGGTATTATATATATATACATGTATATAAGACTAGAGTGTTAATCCTGTATTGTACTGTTAAAGCACACTTTGTAACAAACACCTTTATGCCCTTGTTTCAAGTATAATGATGTTATTTCTGTGTTATTTTCATTTTTCAGGAGGCTACAATGCCATCAGATATGGAGTCCACCTGTCAGATGGTATGTGGTGTGCTGTCAAACCCTAATACAAAACCAACCATTTTGATCATAGATGCCTTGAATCAGGTTAGTTTGTCCTAGTTCAGCACTGTTCTGACTGTCTTGAATGTTAACATGGTCAGTTCCCAGATATATTGTAGGTTTGTAGTGTGTGGCATATGCTAAATGCAACAATTATGCAAGATATTCAGCTCAAAAGGTGTTTGCAAACAGCCAAACATTACTCAACTACATTAATGCATTGGGTGACCATCAAAACACTGTAACTATGGATTTCAGTTGATTGCTCAGTTCAACTTTAATCTTTATGAATTTGTCAATGGTTTACACTGAGGACACTAGCTCGGGCTACTGTTATTGAGTGGTCCACCCATTAACAAAAATCACTTGAATCGACGTTCGTTACGGGCCAATTTCTCGCCATCCGCGCATCGGCGTAAGTGCATATATCGCTTACACGAACCCATTATAGTTTGTTTAAAGATTTTACGATCTAAGAATGCAACTTTAATGTTGTCTAAATCTGATTATGATCTACATTGCTTGCAACATAGCTTTATTGTCAGCCAATTATCTGACAATATTACTGTGCAACGTAAAATTGCTGCCACAGTAATTCTTCCATCACTAACACTACCAGTATTATTTCAATATGCACTGATGGTTGTCTTTCCACATATACGTGTATGACAGGGCTATAATGTTTCTTCTCCTTTTACAGTTTGATGATGACAAGATGTCTTCTATTCTGAGTTGGTTACCAAGGCGACTGGCTCCACAGATAAGGATTATTATGTCCATGATTGATGAAACACCCCCTCATAAAAGACTACACGAAAGGACTAATCCTCCAGAAGAAGTTTATGTTACACCGCTAGATATGCAATCAAGAGTGGTAGGACCTCACAAATACATAATTATAATTATTAATTATTATAATTATTAATCTAACAAAGAAATTGTATTATATTTTTGGGGAGAAACAAGAATGCATATTTTTTTTTGATGGTGTCTTGGGCTAAGGGCTTACTTTTAGTGTTACAGCATTCTGTCTGCAAATCTTCATCAGAATGACATTGCAGTGTACATAAAATTATTGCTAAACCTGCCAATGCTTGCTCATCATGGCAAATTTATGTTATCTATTTTTAACCCCCCCAAATGAATTCCTTTTTATTTAATTGACCAAATATGTTTCCTTTAATTTGACTACAGAAACAAAATTATTTCAATTTGCATGCTATCAATTTGAAAAAAAAACCCTATTATTTTACATAAAAAACATGTTGAAAAATTGTTGAACTCTTAGAATATTGAATTTTTTTTCATATTGTATCACAACCCAAATACGAATTTTGTGTAAAACAACAAAAATATCCAGAATGCCAGTAATAATTGAACTTATCGCTATATATTGTTCATGATTATGCATAGTTATAAAAGCTTGCTGACTACGATTTTGGCACATTTTCCAATGGACATCTTTTTGTTATGTGGACTGCCATTTTCCAAATTGGTTGTCCAACCAGTTAATATTTTTTAAATTTTAAGCCCTGGATTTATGTGTTCTGCCACTGGGTCGAGTCATGTAACAATATTTCCTATATGACATGTATATTTTAATGTACATGTTACTGTAACTCACTGATGATCATTCTCATTGTAGGAAATAGTCACAGAGATCCTAGGCAGTTATAACAAGAGACTGGATAAGGAACAGATGAATAATCTGTTAGCTAAGGAGTCTTCTCAAAATCCTCTGTGGTTAGCCATAGCATGTGAAGAACTGAGAGTGTATGGTGTATTCCATCGAATGAATGAAAAGATTGACAGTCTGGCTGATGGATTACTTGAGTAAGTATATAAACATTGCTGATGTTACACAGTTTTTGATTGACTTTTCAAAACAGTCAATTAGTCAATATAGAATTACATTTCCAGATCAGTAAATATTGATTTTATGGTATTCAGTTGTCTTAATAGTTTCTATTATTCGGTCTTTTGAAAATGCATGTGCGATAAACAAGTATTTACAAAATTTCTAAGAACCATGTACAGAATTTCTCAGATTGAAACATGTAAACACTTTATTTCACTCTGCATATCAGCAATCATGCCTGCAAACCATACTGTATTTCAGTGATCTTAAGCTCTTTACTGGGTATAAGCCCACCCTTTATTAGTTCCCGTCCAGACGCAGTTTGACAACAGGGACTTGGATTGACCTTTGTGCGTTCATGTGTATGTGCGTCTGGACCTGTACCTTAGACATGCTTGGACCAATCACATTTAAACTTCACACATACATCATACAATACATATATATGCACATCAATTTGTTTCACGATCTGATTCAAGATGGTCAAATGGTGGCCATTTTTGTGCTAAAAAATCAAGCATTTATGAATTGATTTTGTTCAAACTTGGTACATACATTGGACATTATTGGACCTTGATGCACATTATTTTTCACGGGTCTGATTAAAAATGGCCGACTGAAGGGCATTTTGTTTTAATAAATGTACTTCTAGTGCTATATCTCTGCCATGCTTTGACTGATTTTATTCATTATACATCATGACATAGATATATTGGTTTGACTTTCTGATTCAAAATGGACAAATGGCAACCATTTTCGTGCAAAAACATCATCAAAAATCAAGCATTTCTAGCATTCCAGAACTGGATCTTGGCGTTTGTGAATGGATTTTGTTCAAACTTGGTTCATACATTAGAGATTATGGGTTCCTGGTGCATGTCATTTTGTTTAAATGAATGTGCTTCTAGAGCCATTTCTCTGATACGCTTTGACTGATTATGTTCAAATTTTATATATTCATTTTACATCATGTTATACTGGTGGCCATTTTGTTTTAATTAATGGTGTTCCAGAGCAATAGTTTTCAATATAGATAAGTACTTGTACTATATTACTATAAACAAAACTATATAACTTAGATTTGATAACTAACAGGGACTGTGCCATGCATGGCTTGTTAAATATCTAATTTACAATAACACGAACTGACTTTTTAGATTTTACTAAAATACCAATACCCTCACACACAGGTGTGTTCCCAAGCTTTCTTTGTTTTACTATGTTAGCTTATATCTCAAAACATGTAGATATAACTTTTCTTAATTCTGAATTTTGCTGTGTTTTCAAGTTTACTAGCTCAGGTTCTTAAACGCTTTGAAGAAGAAAATGGAGGATATTTATTGGTCGCCACATTATGCCTTTTAGAAGCATCAGCCACTGGTCTTCTTGAAACAGAGTTGTTGGATATCCTTGGGGATGAAGATAATTTAATGCCGCCTGAGCCATCAGAGGAGAAGGGTAGGTCATGCAGTCACTGGAACCTTTTGCTGGATGTGGTGATATATTTTATTATGACAGCAGCTTGTTCAGCTTGTTTGTCTGCAGTCATTGGTTAATACAAATCTGTTGAATCAAACATGTACTAATTGATGGTGTGATTAATTGTTTCTTTAGAAGAACATTAAGGTGAAAATAGCTACAAACTGGAATAAAAAAAATGTTGTGGTGTATTAAGCAGTGCTTGAAATTTATAGAGGCCATAGCGGCAATTGCCTACAATTCCCTTCAAAGCTAGATACAAGGATGTTCTCCATTGGCTACCCAACCCTAACACGTAACAGTCAGACCAATCAGAAAGCTTATTTGTTGACAGGTTGTTTCAACTTATAAATTCTGCCTTGTCCTTTAACTCAACTGCATGAATGTCTTTATTTCAGCCTTGAAATTCAGAATATCAAATTTCAAACCCTACCAATCAGCTTGACGGTTTCAGCAATGACAGATAAAATTTATGTATTAATGTTCAGATAATAAAGGTTCATATGTAATGGCACTACAATATTTTGTGCAGCATGTCATTATTTTTGCATTCATATGTTTGACATGACACTGTAAATGGCTAGTAGTGTTACATTTACTCTTTTTACAGGTGTATCTGGAGATGCTAAAGACAAGGAAGAGAAAACCTTTCCTCTTGCTCCATTCAAATGGGCAGCTGTGTATAGAGCACTGAAACCACTTCTGAGACCGTTTGGTGATAGTGGGGAGGGTCGCTTGGACTTCTATCATCGTTCTCTTAGTAAGGCAGTAAGACATATGTGAGTATTTTATTATATTAGAATGTATATCCTTATGATAATACCAGTGGAGATATCCAGTCTTTTATTGATGGAACCACATGTCTATCATTGACTTTGTATACATGTATTATGAGGTTATCGCCTGATGTCACTGCTGATTTGTGTGATGCTACTATATCTATGAATCTAAGAAGAGTAGGATAATATAAATGTGATATCAGGTGATAACTTTTTTTATCACATAACCATCTTTGAGCATCAACAACGCAAAAAACATTGCAAATTTTGCAGAATTTACAAATCATATGTCAACTAGGCATCTGAGCATGTCGGTGTATTTTGATAATCGGCTGAAATATTATACTTCTTAGTATTATTATTTTCAAAATAAATTTCAATTGGCAATATTAATAGTTACATGTGTTACTTGTACATCATGTACATTAATTGTTATTCTGAAATCCCTATATTGCTATCATAAAAGTGGTGCTGTTCACAATTTGCTTTTCTTCACCTAACGTTTGAAGAAGCATAAAATGTGATATTTCACGCTAAATGTTGCAACTGTGTGCATCGTAATCATATGATAAAATGCAGTATCTCTGAGCACTTATCGTACTAAAGCATTTTATTTTGTAGCATTTTATATGCACAGTATGGCAAAAATACTATCCAATAATGCACACAACGAAAAATGAAAAATCATTTTTAGGAACTAAAAGTATGTTCTCTGTTTCAAAAAATCAGAGATGTAACATTGAGTCAACTGATTTTAATCTGTTTATAAATTAAATTTTTGATAGATCAGTGAATGTGGTGGACATTGCTGTTTTGATAATCATTCCCACCAAAAACAAACAAAGATGTAGCAGCTTGTCAATTAAGGAATAAAAATTAACCTAAAAAAAATAGTCTTATCTCTTTCTTAATTTTGTACATGTTTCTAAGTACAGCTAGCAATGTACTGAGCTGTTTTTTTATGCATAATTATAATAATTTTTAATTTGTAGGTATTTTTTAAATGATGATGGTAATGAGGATGATGATGATAGTAGAGATATATCTACTTGATATATAATTTGATATATGTTTCTAAGTACGGCTAGCAATGTACTGAGCTGTTTTTTTATGCATAATTATAATAATTTTTCATTTGTAGGTATTTTTTAAATGATGATGGTAATGAGGATGATGATGATAGTAGAGATATATCTACTTGATATATATTT